GCGTCCCAAGCCAGTTCTTAACCAACGCGCCACTCGGCCGGCCGTAAGCTGGAGCTCTTGACCAACATATTGGGGTGTGGAGCAGTGCTGGGTGCTCGGGTTGGCTGACCATATAGGGCCCTTTGTGGGGCTCAGTCTCCGGTTCTCTCCAGTCTTCTGGGCCTGGAGGAGCTGAGCAGCAGCCTCTTTGTAGGGCAGACAGAACCGTAGTACAGTCTCCTTTGTCATTCCCTGTGGGCTCCTGCCACGTTCTGTATTCTCTGGATCTCTCCCAAGCACGGCCAGTGCAGAGGCTTGGACCTGAGCTGAACGAGTTTTTGTTCACTTAAAAAAAATGGCATGCAGCCTTGTTGAGATATAATTGACATATAATGAACTGGACGTGTTTAACGTGTACCATTTGATAAGTTTTACCATATGATACACCTTTCAAACCATCACCACTGTCAAAATAATGATTATAATCAATTATAAACATGATGCATTTTATTTTATTTTAGTTTTTTGCTTTTGCCCTTTTTTTTATTGTTAGTTTCAGGTGTACAGAACAATGCAATAGTTATCCTTTTCACCCCTCACAAAGTAACAACTCCCCTCCCCCCATCCACTGGCCCCCCACCCCTGATATCATGCTTATCTATTACAATTCCATTGACTCCATTCCCACTCTCTACTCTGATGGATTTTATAATAAATTACAAAAGTGACCATAAATTATTTCAAATATTATAGAAGGTCAAAGTCTACTTTCTATAGCGTTACTCCCACAGGTGGGGACTATTAACAGTTTCTATTTACATTTTTCACGTGCCTTTCCAGAAATTTTTCTGTGCACATATAAGCATATATCCATTTTTTATTTGTTTATCTTTTTTCTACCCATAAAAATTGGGACTGTGCTACAAAAACTGCTTGGCAATATGGTGTTTAAATTTGAGAAGAGATCCTTGACTTACAACTTATTTCAGATCTACCCTACTCTTTATTGGCTGCAGAACATTCTGCTTTATGAATGCACTGTGACTTATTTAACTGGGTACTAGATCAGAAACGAAATCAAACCCCGCAACTGAGTTAAGGGCGGGGAAATGGTGTCTTAAACAGTCGTAGGCCGGAGGCTGAGAATGTCCTTGCTTTCTCCCCTTTCTGAAGAGTGCTGGCATGGATGATTTCCTTGTCCGGTTCCTTTGATTCCTTTTCTGGGACAGAAAGGTCTAGGGATCAAGTAAAACTCCACTTGAAGGACCTCTGTTGGGGTACTTTCCCAAAGTATCACATTTTCTCAAGCAGGGGTTTCTGGGAGAAATATAGAAGATGGAACAATATAGTCTGCAGCTACTTCTTTCTGATTCAGGGCTCAGTCCCCAGTGTTATTTATGATCACCTCACTTTGCTACCCATAACATTTTAGTTTGTTAAATAGATTGGCCTGTGTGATTTTTTTTTTTTCTTGAGACATGAGAGAGGGTACTATATGCTGAGCTCGGTGTGATTTGTAGGGAAGGCAAGTTGTGCGTTGAACGCTGGAAGGGAGGTGGGGCGGGGGGAGGACTGCATGCCCTGCTATTGTCTGCAGGCTCTGCCCAGGCTGATGCGATCAGGAGTGGCAGCGCTGGCAGGGAGCCCTTCTGCTGCAGGCACTGGGAGGTACTCAGGCAGCATTTCTATTTTTAATATAATTTGGGGGAGCCGGCTTTTAGCTCAGGCCCTGCCCTTCCTTGCCCATCCAGATGGCAGAGTCGGCCACAGCTGCTGGGGCTCCGGCTGCCAGTGGAGAGGCGTGGGGGGCTGTGGGCACAGGGCTGAGGACACAGCAGTGTGCCGGGCAGGCAGGAACCCTACTGGGGAAGATGGAATGAGTTGTCTGCTCCCCACCGCTCCTGTTAACCCTTGTGTCCCAGAACAGACGGGGCTCCTGTCAATGTGACAGAAGGAGTACAGGTCCTAGAAGGGGGACTGGCACTGAAGGTGGTTTTTTTTTTTCTTTTTTTGCCTTAGGCTGGGGGAGGGGGAGGAGTATGAGTGGAGGAGCTAACATTTGCGGCAGACTTCTTCGGGCCAGGAGTCGGAATTTATGTACATAATCCAAGTGAATCCTTACCAGAAGAAGCCCTGTGAGGTCCGGTTTACTATCCCATTTTCTAGTGGAGGAGACAGACGCCCTGGGCAGGATATGCTAGAACAGAGGGTGGAGTCTAGGCTGACTACTATACCCCATTGCCCCACCCCTGCAGAAAATATTTGAACTTATCAAGAATAGTCCTCTTTTTTACCAAATTTGTCCAGACACCCAAGCTTTAAAATGAGATTTGGGTTTTATTTTGTTTGTTTGTTTGATGGATGGTTTAATCCCTGACTGGAGAAGGGGCCATCATTGTCCACTGATCGAAGCTGAGTGCTTGGGGGAGCTCAGAGTGGAGCAAAGGAGCATTCTGCCTTTCCCCCTTCAGGTGCCCAAAGGGTACCCTTTTTATCCGGAGTACAGGGCTCTCTCGTTTTACCAACTCAACATCTCTCCAGGATCCTTCCTCTTTATATACTTGTCTTCTGCCCCCAATTCTGCCCACTTAATTTCAGCCTCCCCGTTATTGGTACTGGATGGAGGTCTGGGGCCTCTGTAGGTGTGTGGTGTTCGTGTGTGTTTCTGCTTTCATTTTGCAACTGGCAGTGAAGGCTTCCAACCACAGGAGGCAGGATTTTCTTTTCCTTGTGTGTTTTCCTTCAGCCTCTGGCGTCTGGCTCTGCATGCAGTGGCTGTGGGGCCTGACTCCCCCTCCCCAGGCCAGCAGGGCCGGCCCTGGCAGCAGCTGTGAGCCTGGGGGCTTAGCCAGAGCCTCAGGAGGCTTTATTGTACAGTAGACCGCCCCCCTCTTCTGTATCCCGAGCGGTCCTCACCCACTCAAGAGCCACTTCTCAGTGCTTCTTCCCTCTTAGGCATGGGAGTAAGTTGGAGGATTGAGGGACCCAAATACAGACCCCTCCAATATAACCTTTTCACTGCTACTGCCTACAGGCCCAGAAGTTGGTAAGAGAAGACAAGGATGCCAGCCAGTCTAACCCAGATGAGCTGCAGAGCAAACAGTCCAAAGGCTCAGAGAGGTACAGTGTGTGGGAGACCGCCCTCAGGTGCCTTGAAGGGCAGAATTTGGTCTGCGTGACACAGTGTGCTCCTGCATGAAGACAGATGATGAACGATTAGATGGCTTTTAGAGCCTGTGTGTGTGTGCGCGCGCGCGTGCGTGTGTGTGTGTGTGTGTGTGTGTGTGTGCATGTGTGTGCGCGCATATGTGGTGTGTGTGCGCGTGCATGTGCAAACCCTCTGAATCTGTACCAGACAGGAATGTGAAGTGCTGCTGGGTACCTTTGGTGTGCACATAGCACCACTGTGGGACCAGGGCTTTGTCTTTGTCACGAGATTGGATTAAGCCATGAGTGCCGTGGAGTAGCCTGCGAGAGATCTGGGAGAGGAATGCTAGAGGGCCAGTTCTGCAACTCAGACCTCTGACTGGGGCACTGCCACATCCGAACTGGCTGAGGCTAGCTCTGTGTGTGGTGGTGGTGGTGGTGATGGGGGGCGGGGGGGGGGCTTCCAGCTTCTCAGGCCTGGGCCCATGAAAAGAGAAGGGCTGCCACCCTGGAAAGGGGAGGGGGGCACTCATTCTGCTTTTTGGACCTTGAAAAACTAGCAGCATTCTTCCTTAAAGCTGTAGCTTCATGCATTTTCTATTGCCTGAGTCTGACTCCTCTTTCTCCTTAATTTGTGCTCAGTTCTTCCATCCCTCCCTGGCCCCATTGATGGTGAATTCTGGGCATGGATATACCGAGAGTGTACCTAGCTCTCACTCCTGGGCCAAGCTTATGTAGCACAGGGACCTGGGAAGGCCCAGTCTGGTCCAGGCAAAGGGAGTGCTCAGTAGCGAGTCACTCCGCCCTGCTTTTCTGGCTGCTTTGCCCTCTGTGGCTCTCCGTGGATGTGGGGCTGGGCTGGGGTACAGTTTGGAAAGAGGAATGGACCTAGCTCCACATACTACACTCTCCAGTTCTCTTCCGGCTCTCCAAGTGGAGGGGCCTGACTTTGCTGCTCTGCCTGCTCTGACCAGGTTATCACCTCCACTTCTGTATGGGGAGCAGCTCAACAGTCCCCTTCACAGCCAGGCCACTGAAGAAGCGCCTCTGCAGGCCCCTGAGGGGCAGCCTGAGTGGAAGGGGACAGAGGAGCCTGGGGAGGACTCTACAGCCAGCCCCCTCCTGCCTGTTTCCCTGCAGAGGTAAGGGTGAGCGGGGATCCTTTCAGGGTGGTGGTGGCCCCATCCTGTGTGTAGTTGTGTATGCCAGGGCTGGGAAAGCCGTTGGTGAGGCTGGCGGGCCTGGGGAAGTGGGGAGAGCTGGGATGGGTCTGCAGCCTCAGCAGCAGTAATAGAGGTTTCCTCTGCGTGTTCCACATGAGCTTGGGAATGAGGAAACCGGCCCCTTCCTAGTCCTCAATCTACAGCTAAAATTGGGGTGCAGCCTGATTAGAGGAGCTTAGAATCTCTTGAACTAGGAACGGTCTCTTCTGACCCAACTGCCTCCCTGCCAGGGGCTGGGGCAGAGACCGCTGTTACCCAGACTGTGTAGGTCCTGCCAGGTGGGGCATCTCTCCGGGTCTCCACGCATCAGCCCCCTCCTGCCCAGTAATCCTCCACCTCTAGTCATTCAGCAGATCCCTGTAGAGCCCTGTTGTGTGCTAGGTCCCAGGGCGAGGGAGGTGCAGAACCCTAGGCTTCTCTGAGGCCAGCTGAGAGGACCTTCGTGCCCCAGCTTGGTCCAGAGCCTGGTGTATATTTGCTAGTTCTGCTCTGGCAAGAGGAAGAAGCTGGTTTTAGAGCTCACTCAGTCGGAATGAGTCGCTAGGAGAAATTGAGCAGCGGATGGTCCATCACCGGCATCCATTAAACACCTGCTGTGAGCAGAACTTGGGCCCTGTAACCGTTCTGAGTCCCATGTGGGACCTGAGTGTCTGGTCTTCATTGTAAACAGCTCGGGAAGAGGCAGGGAGAGGAAAGTGGGGTATAAGACCTGAAGTAGGGAAACTGTCGGGGCTGCCTCCCTTGTCCCCATCACAATTTTTTGACCCTGAATGAGGTATGTTTGGAGCCTCTCACCTTCCTCCTGGCTTTAACACATTTTCTTCCTTATGGCTTTCAAGGAAGGAGATCCCAAGCCCACCTGTCACCTACAGGAGGGGCAAGGATCAGCAACCCCAGGCTGAGGAGCTGGGCACGGGGCAGGCAGAGGCCAAGGAGCCGGAAGAGGAGGCAGTCCGCCCCACCCTGCCAGTCCCTCCGGAGGTGTAAGGGCGGGTTTTAATGTGTCTGTCCCTGTCCTCCAGTGTGTATGGTTGGCTTTAGTGCCCATCCACTCTTGGGTGGCGGTGAGGGGAAGCTCTGGCCCTGGTCCAGTGGGTGGAACGAGGGGAAAATGCGTGTACCCTCAGTTCTGTGAGCAGCCTTGATAACCCAAGTAGCCATCGCTGGTCCTCGTGTAGGTTGGCTGAGGTTTCCCGGGCTCCCTTCGTCAGGACCTGGGTATACGGGTGGAAGCAAGAGGTTACCTCCTGCCTGGGTCATTAGAAACCTGGTAAACCACGTTCTCCTCTCTACCACGCACTGTTCCTCTCTTTCTTTACAAAACGTTTTATTATATGTCAGCTGTAATTGGAAAAACAATGCGTGCTCAAAGAAACCTCCCCAAAAGTTTTATTGAGATCTTTACATACATGAAAGTACACAAATCTGAATTGTACAAGTCAATGAATGTTTACATAAGTACACACCACGTAACCACCACCCAGACCTGATGGAGAGCCTTGCTGTCCCTCGAGAAAGTTTCCTCATGTCCCTTTCCTCTAATCCACCTGTCCCAGGTCACTGCTATTCTGGCTTCTGTCCAGTAGATTTGTTTTTCTGGATCTCCAACTTCATGTAAATGGAATTAGATGGTATATAGTATATATCATTTTTGCCTGGGTTTGCAGCCCACCTATGTGGTTGCATGAAGCACTTCCAAAACTTAAAAATTGCTTAGCTTTTTTTCTCCCATTTTCACCTCCCCCTGTCTCACTCCTTTTACAGATGAGATAACTGAGGCTCAGAGAGGCGAAGGCATTTGCCCAAGGTCACATTGCTGGTCAGTTGCAGAATTAGGACTAGACTCTAGTCACGGGAGCTATAGACGTCTGACTTGTAGTCTGCAGCCGTGGTTCCCTTTCTGTACATGGAGAGACAAGAGCCAGGCTTGCGCAGGTTTCTCCATCTGAACTGAGCAGCAGAAAAGAGTTAAAAGTCCCCAGGAGTCGGGGCTGACTGTTGAGCAGAGACTGGTTCGTCCACTGATTGCTCACAGGAAGTGTCACCGAGAGCTGGCAGAGCACATGAACTCCTGATCTCATGTCATCACCATCAAAACAGGAGTGATGTAGGGATGGGGTAGCGCCGTTTTCAGGTGGCGAGATATCCTACAATGACAGCTCTGACCTAGAGGAATGACATGGCTTTCCCAAGTGTCCTTGGTGGCTGTGGACAGCCAGATCAGGGTGCTTTCTATGGGGACAGGAGGTGAGTGTGGGCAGAGGGCAGAGGGCAGAGGGTATCCACCTGGGGCCTCCGGGAGAGAAGCTGAGCGGTGAGAGAAGCCAAGTCAGCTTTAGTGTTTCTCCTCTGTCCCGAGGAGGCTGCCCCTGCTGGGGTCTCAGGGACACTTTCCTTGACCAGTTTACACAGTGCCCTTAGGACGTGTCTTCTGTTCCTTTCTGAGTCTTTTCAGTCCCCACAACTTCTTTGTCATTAATCTTTACAGCTATATTAGGAATGGATTGATTTTTCTGGGTGTTGTAGGGAGTAGCTCTGTCTGTGTCTCATTTGTACCTGCGGGATTTTAATTTATGGAGGTGACTGACAGCACAGAGAGGCCATTGGCACTGAAAGAATAATTCATTACTAACATTTCCAGAGAGACGAGAGCATGCTACGCCACGCAGGGCCATGTGGAGAAGGACCAGGGCTGCTCAGGGGGCAGAAGAGGCGAGAAGCGAGAGTACGACCCCGAGCATTTCTTGTGGTTTTCGTGGGAAGGGATGGGCGAGGCAGGGTAAGTACCCTGCGTGAATGTAAGAATGGATGATTTGAATAATTTTGTGGATTTTGGATTAGGGGGTGACCTCTAGTTGCCTGGTACCTGGTCCTGGGTGATTTAGAGTAGGGAAATATCTGCTTGGTATGAGTTAGAGAAGGAGATGGTTGCGGTATAGACTCAGGATTGGTTTGTTTGCATATGACAGACATGTTCCCTTTGTTGTTGGTAAGAATTGGCTAATCCAGGGAGGCGCAGTTTCTCCTTGACCAGCAAGCTTTTTAAGATGTCAAACATCACAAAATACAGAAAATAAGAAAACATGATTCATAGAGTGTCACTTCATAGATGTAGTCAAGCTGAATCAGGAGTTAGGAGCAAAGGGCAGGCCAGCGAGTGCGGGCAAGGCTAGCATGCAGCCGCCACCATGCACGCTTTTTGGCCAGAAGGCCTGGGTCTGGGAAAGGGGGAGATTCTCCCCTTTGTCATCCCAGCATCTTTCTTGAGGTGTTTGTAGGAAGAGGGTAGCTTCATTAAAACCACTGGGTTGAATGTGAGCGGAAACGAGAACTCTTGGCTCGCTTGCGATCCTGGCTGCGGTGGCGCACAGCCGTTTCGGGAGGTCTGGGTGCCTGTCTCTCTTCCTCTTCCGTCTCCCCGCCCGCCTCCCCTCCTTGCTTTCCTTCACATGTCTCAGCTACTTGGTGGCCAGCCTGAAATGTTGATGCTCTGCAGAGCCTCGTCTTGGCCCTCACTGTTGGAAACTGGGTCTCCCTGATGCTGATACCTGAGGAGTGGCCTAGAAATCAGATCTACCTCTTCCTCTGGAGTCTTCAACTTCCCAGGCATCTCAAAGATCTTTCAGGCCCATTGTTGATTGCTTTGGACCTAGGCTGGGGGTTTGGGGTATTAGATCTTTAAAACGGGGACACAGAAAAGAGGCCTATTGAAAATTAGGCCTGTTTGCCTGCGTGCCAGGTTTGCAAGCCAGCTCACCCGTGCGTGTAGCCTGGGCACACACTGCCTTGCCGTCTCATGCCCCATCTTTCTGTAGCATCTGTCCCTAGGGCTCCACATAGCTACACAGCCCACAGGGGAGAGAGACATTAAAAGGTACCATCTCAGGAAAAAAAGATGTTTTCAGCCAAGGTTGGAAATGAGTTGGAGGGTTGATGAGGCAGAGAGCTGCGGGGGGAGGCTCTTTCCAAGGGCAGAATTCTCAGAGGAGGTGGCAGCCACATCTCTCACATCCGCATCAGTTGCGCTGTGTCAGGGGACCAAGAGGAAGCCGGGAATTCGAAGGAGGGGGGGAGATGGAGCTGGGTGCAGAAGAGAATTGGACGCATAGCTCAAGACTGTTTCTGGTCTGAGTTACAATTTTAGGAAAGGGGGTAGGAAAGATTTTAATGGTATTTTAGAGACCACAGTGGCCTTTTTTATCTTCCTTCTCTCTCTGGTCTCAAGGGGCCAAAATGGAATTCCTAAGGCCTTGTTTTCTTCTGCTTTTCTAATCTGATCGGGCACACTGCCTTCTATCTGCTGCAGTGCTAGAGCTGGAGGGAGAAGGGGGTTCTGCAACCCCAGCAGGGGGACTGGCTCCCCTGTTCCACTCTTGCTCCAGTACTCCTTGACTTGGACCACACCCACATACTGCTGAGACTGACTGGGTCACGTGCCAGGCCTGCCATAGCCTGAGCACATGCAAGAAGGGTGGTGGTTGTGTGGCGAGATCAGTTTCTAACATAAGATTTAGGGACTTGGGAGTGCAAACACATATTGGCCTTTAGGAGAGCCATTCTGGGAGGTGAAATACTTTATTCTGCTTATGCTCTCATGGTTCCAAATGTTCTTGGGATTTCTTTTTGGGCATGTCCTTCAAGAACCAGCGTACAAGCAACAAACAACGTTCGTAATTTATAGACATCTTTGTAACCAATACCATTAGTCCTCATCTTCCCACCCACCTAATACATCCAGGTTAGTCCTGAATTTCTTTTACCCTTTTTCACCCGTTCAAGTAACTCGAAGCAGATGAAAACACGGCCTCATCGGTGACATAAGGAGCACCCTGTACCTGTAGTGCTCTTGCTGCTCTCTTTGGCTTAGGGAACGGCCTCCGGCTTGGCTCCCTGGGCAGTGTGGGAGGGGGTTTCCCATTCCTGCATCTGCATGGACGAGTCTGGGTCTCAGGGCTCGGGGAGATGCTGCTCTGTCTGCCGCTGGCTCATAGGCGTTGGCCTCTGTTCAGCTGGGGAGGCAAAGAACAGCTTCTGGGGACTCCCGAAATTGCTAGCATGAGCCTCAAGTAGCAGGCAGAGCCCTAGTGGGTGACAGAAACAGGGCCCTGAGCCATCTTGGGGAGAACTTGGGAGGGACAGAGCTTTAATCTCTCCCCGCTGCTGCGAGCTCCTCAGCCACGTCTTCACCTTGGGCCACAACCACCGGGCTCACTGAGAGCCTGCTACGGGCTGCCCTTCTCCCCAGGCTCTTGAGGCCTTACACAGCCACGGTGGGGCTTGTCCTGTAGAACAGGTGCTGCCTGTATGTCCGACAGGGGCAACCTCACTGCCTGCCCGTGGGGGACCTGATTTGCATGTGTGACTTCTGATCGTGGGCCCTCCATTAGGACTCTGTATGTGATGATCTGTAACTGTCTAAGCCCTGATGCCAAAAGGTGGGTGGATATTAAAACTAGTGAAATGCTGTTCTCCACCCTTGGTAGGCGATCTCCAGAGCTTGCGGCTCCCCCAGAGCAGCTCTCAGAGGCGGCCCTGAAGGCCACGGAAGAGGCAGTGGCCCAAGAACTCAGGCAAGACCAGAGGCGGCTCCTGGAATTGAAGCGAGAGAAGATGCGGCAGCTACGGGAGAAGCTGCGGCAGGAGGAGGAGGAGGAGGAGACCGTCCAGCTTCACCAGCAGAAAGAGAAGTCTCTCAGGTCCTGCCCCTCCCCCCTTAGATGAGCTTCCCAGAGCCTCACAGTGAGGACACTGTCCCCATGCCGCGGGGGGTGGGGTGGGGGGGCACTCTTCCCCCACCCTGGAGATCCCAGGAATGTCCGTGGCCCACCAAGACTCTGCCTCGCTGGCCCGTGTGAAGGAATGGGCTCCCTGGCGAAGGATCGTGAGCCCTCTCTTTTTGGGAGGGAATTGAGAGGGAAGGCGCGATCATCATGAGAGTAGCTAACGTGTTTTGACAGATTATACTGATCCATGTGCTTTATATCAATTTGATTAGTCCTGTGAATGGCTCTTATGAGGTATTGTTATCAACCCCATTTTGTAGCGTCTATGATATAGATGAAGAAATTGAGGCACAGGAAGGTTAAGTAACTTGTCCAAAGTATGGAAGCTAAGAAGCAGCAGAGCCTGAAGTCTGTTTTATTATTTACTTCATTGTCCTCTCTTTTGGGAGTCAGGGCCCTGCTGGGACCCAGTGAGATTGGTAGGGATCACATGATATAGTGTGAGGCACTCGTGCTCAGGACCCAGAAGTTTCTATTTGGGTTCTTACTCTTTGAGGAGCTGGCTGGGAAGCCCTAGACAAACATGACACTTAAGCCTGGGCTGGGCCTGTGTGTATGTGATTGTGTGTGTGTGTGTATATATATATGTGTGTGTGTGTGTGTGTGTGTGTAAATAAGCTAGAGATTTATTTTTATAAGAAAAGGCAGTCTAGGGCTCGCATAGTGGCTCCACAGAGTCACCAGGTCCCTGTCTCCTGTAATCTCTCTGCCTCTTTAATGCTGGTTTTTACTCTCAGGGTCTCTTCACAGTCCAATATAGTTGTTGGATTTCTAGCCATTGTGTCAGTGCTCCAGGCAGGAAGAATAGGGGTAGAGTATAAAAGGGGGTACCTTCTAGCTCATTCAGTCCCTTTAAAGGAGTTTTCCTGGAAACTTTATCCAGTAATTTCCACTTATATCTCATTGGTTACCCCTGATTGCAAAGGGGACTGGGAAATGTAGTCCTTTAGCTGCGCCTCTTTACCTGATAGAATAAAATTAGGGTTCTGTTAGTAAGGAAAATGAGAGAATGGATATTGAGAAGGTAATAAGCAGTCTCTATCACAGTCGCAGGATGGGAAAAATGCTACAAAAAGGTGTTAATGTAATTCACTTACTTTGCAGTTTATCTACAGACTAAATCTTTTCCTCTTGGACAGAACATCCAAAAGTGGTAGAAACTTATTTTTTTTATATCATAGATAACAAAGAGTGTATAAAACATTTCTGCTTAGAGAAGCTAACAGAAAACCATCACTTCACTCCCCAGCGGGTTGGGGACAATTTCATTTGCCTGACACAGGATCCGCTGACCCAGCGTCCGTCCGTCCTTACATCACCCCTCCTGGACTCCCTGCCAGGGAGCATCCCACAGAACAGATCTCCCCACAGCATCCTCCTCTTCCAGCCAACTGGAAATCGAGGCAGGGGCCCATCCAAACAGAGTGTGGCTCAGCTCCCCTTGAGAGGCAGTGCCTAGGGGAAAATGCGGGCAGCAGTTCCATGCCAGTCCACCAGGCTTCTCTCTTCATGGCCTCCCTGGGCTTGGCTGACTGGGCTTTTCATCTTTCTCCAAACCCCCCGACTCCAGAGGGACGTCCAAGAGCCCTCGTAGGTTGTGGTGAAGACTGGCATCTCAGAAGTATCTAACTCAGGACGTACAGCACTGTAATTGCTCAGTACATGGGAGCTCTTATTTTTATTTTCAGTTGAAATCAATATAGTTTCAGCGGTTTTGACTAAGTGATTTCTCTGTGGGCAGTGACTTGCCTGATTCTCTTCAAAATAGTTCATCATGAGAACTCTGTTTCTGTTTACATACGAGCCTTTCTCAGGGGTGGGGCCTTCTTTCTTCTGGGAAACCTCCACTTGATAGAAATTTCTGGAAGCCACACTGTATAGCAACTATTTCTTGAATGAGCAGGCAAGCAGGAAGACAGGCAGGCTGACCCTTATTTTCTTTAGTTGTAAAATGAAGAGATTGTAAGATAAAGAGAGAGAGTTGTAAAATGAAAGACTTAACCTCTAAAGACCCTTCCAGCTCTAATAGTCTGTGTTGCTATGTGTAAAATTTAGCCATAGGACAGAGAAAGGGTTTCTGGGGAATCCAGACGGAAGGATTTTTACTTAACTCAAATTTTCCATCATAATGGAAGAGAGCAGTGATGCTGATAGCTTGAAATAGAAAACGATCCTAAATCTCTTTTGGCTTTGGAATTCATTACAGAAGCTTCTCAAAGAAATTGTCTTCTGAATCTTTTTTTCCTTAGGCTTGAATTCCCTGGTTGCACAGAACACAGCCCTGGTCATGTGGGGGCTGTGTATGCAGAGGGATGTTCGCTTGGGATGAAGTGGTTACCATTCTTGGTCTGTAAATAAGATACTCTCATAGATAGTCAAAGCCCTGCTTATATTTTGGGGCTGGGTGATACTGTTCAAATTCAACAAACATTTATTGAGCACCTACTTCATGTCAGTTACTGTGTTCGGCACCTGGGATAATAACATTTTAAGATGATTCTTTCTCTGGAGAAGCTCTCTGACTTGTAAGGAAAATAGACATACAAAAGATTAATTATGATGCAGTATGATGCATGTACAGAGTGGCACGGGATAAGAAAGGTCCCCATATAACATGTGATAGGAACAGAAAGGCTAATTGATGAACTTGGAGGGAGTCAGAAAGTCTCCTCTGAGCAGAGGGAGCTGGGTGTTGAATGATGAATATGGGTTTGTCAGGTAGAAAAGGGGATTCTAGGCAGAGGACCCAGTGTGAACAAAGGCCAAGAGGCAAGGAAGAGTTGTGGGATTTAGAGGTGGTGGCTCATCTGATGTGGCTAGAACAGAGTCTGTGGGGTGGGGAGTGAAAGGATACGGAACCAGAGTCAGGTTGGGGTCAGACTGTCCATCCTTGCATGAATGCCATGTCAAGGGAACCTGGAGGCAGAGGGGAGCCTTCGGCAGAAACACTGCTCTGGGACGAAGCCGCCTGTAATCTGGTTCCTGTGGCAGAGGGCAGGTAGAGTTTACAGCCCCCTTAACCCTGGGAGGTATTATCGGGAGGCTGCAGGACCCGGAGGCTGACGTCAGGCTCATCTTTAAGATATAGGGAGCTACACAGGCAGGCTACAGGCTACAGACTTTTGAAGTCGAGAGCCAGGGATTATGACTGGAAGAGGAAGAACCTGTGGATCCTCAAACAAACTTGCCTTTCCTTTCCTTCCCAGTTCTCTGAAGGAGCAGCTGCAGAAAGCCGCTGAGGAGGAGGGGATTCAGCTGAGAGAGGAGGAAAGCTGGAGGCTGTCCCGACTCCGGGCCCAGGTCCGGTCCAGTGCAGAAGCAGATGCGAATCAGATCAGGTGAGTGCCTACTGTGAGCTGCCTCGCCCCGTGGAGGAACCCCTGAGTGCACAGGCCCATCCCCATTCCCTTCTCTGCCCAGGGTCACGCAACAGGCTTCTCTGCAAAGGCTGAGCGAGGAGTTTGAGTCTCTGCAGAAGGCTGAGAGGGCGAACTTGGAGCAGAAAAACAGGCAAATGCTGGGGCAGCTCAAGGAAGAGATGGAGGCTTTGGTGAAGAGAGAGCAAGCTGCCCTGAACGCTGAGAAGGAGAAGGCTTTGCAGCAGCTGAGGTTGCAGCTAGAAAGGGAGAGGAAAGAAGTGAGCAAGTAGAGTGGGGACCTTCCCCTCTGACATGTCCCTGAGCTGCATGGGGAGGGACTGAGTGTGGAGGAAGAGCCAGCCTTGGGCATACGTCGTGGGGAGCCAGGCAGAGAGTGGGGGTCTACACACACAGGCTCGGAGACGGTGGGCCCATTACTCTGTGTGGACCTGGCTTGTCTCAGGGCAGGTGCTAGTCCTGGTCCCCACGGCAGAGCAGAAGGTACTGCAGGTGTCCAGGGGCTCCCTCTAGGGCCAGCTGGGGCTGGCAAGGGCAGTGAAGAAGTTTGATTGGAAATGGCCTATGGATTTGGGAAGATTTCATGACCAAAAGAACTTAAACCAGCCCAGAGGTCCTGAGACAAAGGGCCCCTGTCCTTGTCCCTGAGGGGCAGCTGTGATGACCTTTCATCTCTCTCCTGCCATAGAATGAGAGGTTAGCACACTCAGAGGAGTTTTTTCTCCTTTGTCCTCACTCCTTGTCTCTCTGAACCGATGGTCCGTCTCTAGGCAAGGGGCTGAAGTAAGTAACAGGCCACGTGGAACTTCTGCTGTCTTTTGGTGAATGGTGGTAGAGTTTCAGCTCTCAGACAAGGCAAAACTCCAGTCGGGTTGGAGGAGAACATTGTACTGCCAGTGCTCAGGGGGACTGTGCTAAAACCCCCAGCCCTCCCTGCCTGGGGCCTCATCCAGGCACGAGTGTCACCCGTGTGCCTGTGGCCTAGCCCGGAGGCGGGGGATGGAAGCAGTGACCCGCGGCTTGCCTTGCCGGAATGCCCCTTCACTCGGGCCTTCATGTGCCTGTCCATTTGCTGGATGCCGACTTTAGGGACTGAGTTATGTTGCAGGAACAGAGATGTGCCTGTAGTTCTCCTTAGCCCCTCAGCTCGAGGTGCACTGGGGCGGCTTTCCTGGCTCCTCCTTCCTCCAGGGTCAGTGCCCAGCCAGCCTTCCCTGCCCTGCGTCCCTCACAGGCCCTTTATTGCTCCCTAGGCGGAGGCAGCGCTGGAGAGTAAGCACAGTGCTGAGCTGCACCGGCTCTCTTCCTCACTGCAGGCCAAGCACAGAGAGGTGAGATGCTGCCGGCCTGGCCTGTGAGGCAGAGCTGGGCATCCTGCTCCCTGAGCATAAGCCTCAAGTCACAGCGAGTCCCCAGAAGGACTCAAACCCCATCCCTGCTATGAGGGAGGGAACGTCTCTCTCCCTGCAACCCCGGGAAGTGAGTCCCCCGTGGCCACTCTGCAGTGCTCTCTGAGTCACACCCTTCCCCTGTCCTGGGGCCTCCTCAGGTGGTCTCCAGCCTCCAGAGGAAGATAGAGGAAGCTCAACAGAAAGAGGAGGCGCAGCTCCAGGAGAGCCTGGGGTTGGCGGACCACAGAGCTCAGCAGAAAGTTCAGCAAATGCTGTTGTATGAGCGAGAGGTAAATGTGTGTGCCTGTTGCAGAGGCTCTGACGGCGGGCCGAGCAATCCTGGCCCACAGGGGCCTGTGCGTTGCTTTGGGTGGCTCCGCTGGGGTTAGAATTTCTCATTCTCTTTTTCATGTCTCTGTTCCCTTGAGGTCAGGTGCTTCTTCACCCCCATGGCCCTGTACCCATGTGGGGAGGGGGTGCTGGGGTGTTGCTGTGTATATCGTGTCACGTACGTGTGATGTGCATGTCGTGTGCGTATGAGACCTCTGAGTGCTTCAGTCCCTGAGTGCTGGTCCACTCAGTCCTACGTGTTGTAAGTACCGGCTCCCCGCATGCAGCTCAGTGGTCTCCTGAGAGAGAAGCGGCAGGAGGTGGAAAGGGAACACGAGAGGAAGATGGACAAGATGAAGAAGGGGCACCAGCAAGTGGTGGCTGACGCCAGAGAGCAGTACGAAGCTGAGGTGACTTGGCCATGTCCTCCAGCACGCATGCGCGCGCGCACACTCACCCACTCACCCCCGCCCCCCGCCCTCCCCGGGCCCTTCCCAGCTGGCTAGAAGGCAGAGGAAGGAGACAAACTGTTCAGGGTTTGTGGGAGACTTTCTTCCCTGGACCCCTGCAGTGGTGAAGTCATTTTTTTTTTTTTGCCTTTTTACTAAAACATTAGATGAGGAGTGATTCCTCTTCATCAGGCAGGCTGCACTTCCCTCTCATGGTAATAAGAGCTAACATTGAGCTTGTGCTACGTGCCAGGCACTGTTCTAAGCTCTTCATATAGATGAACTCATTTAGTCCACACAACACGCTGAGGAGCGACGTACTGTCATCATCTCCATTTTAAAAACGAGGAAACTGAGACAGAGTGTAAGTAACTATTGCAAGCCCACCCTGGCTAACTAGCAGAGGAGCTGGGATTCAAGCCTAGACTGTCTGATTCCAGAGCCTTCCGTTTTAACCACTCTAACACCATGCCACCAGAGCCATCGAAATTCCACAGCAGGAGCCATCCAGTATGTAGCTATTACCTGCCCATCTTCAGCCCTTAGCCTTGGCTGGCAAAGTTCAGCTATCTAAGTTGCCCCACTCCGGCTTGGCTTGCTCCTGTTGGGGTGAACAGTGGCAGTGACTGACTTTAGCCCACAGCTGGGCCTCTGCTGGGACTCCTAGGCTGCTGCTCCAGGGGCGGGAACCGATATCCCAGACACTTCGTACGTCTTTCCCAGGGCACACATAGTGGGCTGTGATGGAATGTAGCTGACTCCCTTCACCAACCAATTCTGGTCTTGCTGAAGAATAGTGAAAGTTTACTCATGACCTCTCTTCCCTTAAGGAAGGGAAGCTGACATGATGGAGCAGTAGGAAAGGCAGGCTCCCAGAGGAGATTTCCTCCTGACATCTGATCAGACTCTGCTTCAGCAGCAGAGAGGGGGTACAGGTTTTCCGGGGGGTAGGACCATGCCATCCTCAGCGCTCTCCTTGAAGAGCTGGTCTTAGGGGACTCAAGGCTGCCGGGGTGGCGGGGGGAGCTGTGGTTTTAGACGTGTGAGGGCCACTGCAGTTTCCCACTGGCGGCCCCACCCTCTGTGCAGGAGAGGAAGCAGCGGGCTGAACTTTTGGGGCTGAGAGAAGAGCTGGAGCGCCTGCAAAGGGCCCATAAGCGAGAACTGGAGACCGTGAGGCAGGAGCAGGACAGGAAGCTGGAGGAGTTGTGGCGTCGATTCCGGGAGCAGGTGGGGGCTCGGGGGGGCCACTTGGGGCTCACCCACCCGACACCTCCAGATAGGGTAGAAAAGTGCTGGGACAGCAAGATAGCAGGATGGAGCCTGACAGCTTCAGGAGTGGGGGTCTCTCATTGGCCATCCCCAAGCTCGGACATCTTTGCTCCTTTGTTTCTGGGCCAAGGGAACATCCCCAGGATTAGAAGAGGAGGTTAGCCCCTTGAGAGCCTTGGGGTTGGCACCTTTGCTGCTCCTTGCCCCCACTGGAAATAAATAAGGTGTGGTGCTTTCCTGGGAGGCCGCGGGGGCTCATGGGAGGAAGCCTGATTCTATCTTGGAAGGTGTGGTGGGTCAGCCCTCTCCTGCCCCTTCAGCTGATGCTCTGTGCTCTTTCTTCACTTATATCTTTCTCTCCACCTGTGCTTCTGTGCAGGAAAAGAAATTCCAAGATTTAGAGGTGGAGCTTGAAACCAGAACCAAAGATGTGAAGGCCAGATTGGCTCAGCTGGACATTCAGGTGAGGCAGGCACTGGGGGTGGAGGACAGGATCTCTCGGTACCCTTAACCTTGAAGTTATAGCTCGTCCAGGAGAGGATGGGCCTTTTCACCCCTTAGACCTGGGGCCTGGAGATGGCCAAGGGGCCCTGTTTCTTTCCTTCCCCACTGCCCAGAAGGAGAAGCAGCAGCTCCTTGACGTGCAGAGGCAGGTTGCACTGGAGAGAGAGGTGTGTCTGCGCCTTTCGGACCCTCCTTTGTCCTTCCCTCGTTCCCTTTCCTTCTTTTCTTCTCCCCGCAACCCTCCACCTTTTGTTCACCTGATCTCTCCTGGGCATTGAGTTTATTCCACAAGTAGCGCCACTGTGGGACCCAATCGGGGAACCCCAGGGAGTGGGGCTCTGGTGGAAGGACACAGTTATCTCCGTGTTCAGTTCTGCCCTCTCTCTCTGCTCTTTGGGTTTCCCCGTCTTCTACTTCTGCCTGCTTCAGGTGCTTCTGTCTTTCCTTTTGCGTCAGGAAGCCACAGCCACCCATCGGTCCCTGGAAGAGGCAAAGAAGGAGCACACCCACTTGTTGGAATCAAACCAGCAGCTCCGAAGAATTCTCAGTGAGCTTCGTGCCCACAAGTTGGAGCTGGAGTCCCAGGTGGATCTGCTGCAGACCCAGACTCAGAGGCTGGAGAAACATATCAGGTGGTGTGGGCACCTTCCACTTAGCCACCGTCCTGCCTCTCGCCTGCCCCCTGACCTCTGCTGTTCATGGGCCCTGTCTGCTTGTGGCTCAATGAAAGGCAGAGGTGGAGCCAGGAAGAGGGCCTGTGTCTGCTGCATTTTGTGGAGAGTGGGGGCTGTTAGGAGGTTGTAAAGAGCTGCGGATCCCTGGGTGTACTGTTCATGCCCCAGCACTGCCTTAGGGACTTCGATGGCAGTGAATGGATGGAGATGGTCCTGCTCTCTAAGGTTGGGGTTTGAAGTCCCCCCAGAGGCCCTGACAGTGCGCCTGGCCTGCTTTATCATGTGACCCTGCTTCACTCACCCCCACCGCCCACTCCCCTCTCCCAACACAGAGGCCTGGAGGCGGACGCTCAGCGGAAGCAGGACACACTGAAAGAGCTGGAAGTTGAGGAGAGCCATGCTTCCTCACATTTTGAGTCAGATCTCCACATTGAGGAACTGAGGAAATCCCTTGTGATAGTGAGCATCTCTGTGCCTTGGAAGGGACAGGATGGCTGGGCTGAGGCACCAGAAACGGGTGGGCCTCGGGGGAGAAGGGCACCAGGAGGGGTCCTGGCTCTGCTCTCTATATGGCCTTAGCCTCCTGTTCTTATCATTCCCTGTCCCCCATCTCTATCAGTCAAATGATATCTATAAATGGCTCAGCAGCTGGCAGAGCCATTTGTGTCTAGGCCACTGGGAGGGGCTGCAGGGTCCCCTGAGCCTGCAGTGTATCTACTTTTGTTGCATTCAGTGGGTCTTTCCTATCGTGTATCCTTAGAGCCAGACCAAAAAGGTACCCTCTTCTCTCTCCCAGAACAAGGAGGAGGCTGACTTGTCCGTGGACAGGTGAGTTCCCATAGCCTGTGTTATTTTGGGTTGAGGATGCCATGAAGGGGTGAGTGCCTGTATGACAGAGCTGGGATAAACAGTGCAGCGATAGCAATCACTAGTGGGGCTTGGCTCAGGGGAGCGGGTCCCGGGGATTGAGGAATCTTCTCAGGCAAGCCAAGTAGGTACCCATTGTGACTGCTGACACTGCATGCTGGCATCTGCTGACCCCCTGGTTGAGGGCCAGGCTGATGGGTGCGTCTGGCCACCTATCCGAAGGCCTTTCAGAGTCAGGGTGGGAAGACTCAGTGCAGTGTGCCGCTGCTGTATTTAATGGCGGCATTTCCACGCACTGCTCAACCCCAGCCCAGTAATCTGTGCTCAGGAAGTGGTGGAGTGACCCAGAGCAGAGGCTCTCGGAGTCTGTTTGCCTTCTCCCCCTCACACCCCCTCACCTGGGCATGTCCTCCCACAGCCTCCTGGGCATGTCCTCCCACAGCCTCCAGCACTACTTCTCTGCCGAAGGGATAGCTCTCCGCAGCGCCAAGGAGTTCCTGGTGCAGCAGACTCACTCCATGCAGAGGCGGCAGACAGCTCTGAAAGCTGCCCAGCGGCACTTGCGCCACGAGCTGGCCAGTGCTCAGGAGGCGCCCAAAGACTTGCCCGGCACCAAGGCCCTGGAGGATGTGCGCAAGGACCTGGAGGAGGTCGGGAGCTTGGAGGAGAGCCTGTCAGCCCTGCGATGGGGGTGGGGGAGGCCTGGGAGAGCCAGGGAAACGCCCGCCTTGCAGCGTGGTCCTTCTGGGGACTCCCTGAGGGTGGTCACGTAGGCCCTGGGATCACTGGACAAGTCACCTAGGACTACTGGACAGGTGATGCAGGTTCTATATCTCAATGAGGATGAAAGCACCTTAACGTTTATAAGGCAGTGCACAGTGTGCAGGGTGCTTTCTCTCATAGTAAATCGTTGGATCCTCACAGTAACCACAGATGTGCAGAATAGTAGTATTAGCTGCATTTTCTAGGTGAAGAGTACAAGTAAGGTTTTTAAAATTTCATACCCAGGACCCTGCTTGTCCATTCCAGTAACCTAAAGGCTTCGCTCATGACCGAACATCTTTTGAGTTCACTCAGCGTAAGCTGGAGTTACTTCTCTTTTGTACTTCTAGGGTACCCTAATTTGCAATGGAAAGGCAGAGCCTTCGTGGTTATTAGCTAGGATCACAGAGCTTTGCATTCTGATGGTGGGCTTGGGGGCAGCAGAGGGCAGCAGGCCGACAGAGCGGCAGGTTTCCCAGGGGTGTGCACATGCACCCTGCCCTTGCTCTGCTGAATCCCTCCTGATGGCAACGATGATGACAATAGTAGTAGCCGGAGCTGCGATAATAATGACCATTTTGGTTAACAGTAACCATTTGAGAATGTGTTAGGTATGGGCTTAGTGCTAAGCATGTAACATGTTGTATCTCATTTAATTCTTATGATCCTATGAAAAGTAGTATTTCTCCTTCTTAGAGGAAAATCCAGACTGAGAGCTAAGTAATTTGTTCAAGTTCACCCAGCCAGCAATGGCAAAGCTGGGACTCCAGTACCTGTGTGGTAGTCACCACATTTCTCCTCCTTTCCTCCCTGGCTGCAGGAGACCAGGCACCTGGATGAGATGAAGTCGGCCATGCGGAAAGGCCATGACCTGCTGAAGATGAAAGAGGAGAAGCTGAATCAGCTGGAGTCCTCCCTTCGGGAAGAGGTGCAGCCCTGTGGCCGCATAGTCCCGTGTGGCTACGGCCTCCTCTTCCGTCCCTGGGATGTGGTTGGGTGCTTTGGTCCTGTGCTGGGCAAGCTGGGCCTCTAGGGCACAGGACTAGCCGTAGGCTTAGGGCTCCTGGGCTGGTGAAAACGGCAGTGGCTTCAGCTTTGCGTTTGGGTATTTGTGCTGAGTGGTCCAGAGAGACCCGGAGCCTCTTGGTGAAGGTTCTTCAGAGAGGATCGAACCCCTGCCCTTCCTCCGCCACAGCACCTGATGACAGATGGTCCCAGGGTGGTGGGGATAGAGGCACCTATGAGGTTTCCCTGCCTTCCCTGGGGCCTTGTAGACTTTCCCCTGGATGGCCGAGGCATGGGTGTGGCAGGCGGGGAGCGTAGGTGGAGACACTGCAGGGAGAGGGGTGGGCCTGCTGCCTGTGTCTCAGACGGTCAGTTCTCTTAGCCTCGCCTCCCTCCTGTCCCCCTGCTTGGTGCGCCTCTCCCAGAACTTTGGGTCCCAGAGAACCTGTTCACCAAGTGTTCAGTCCCCATACATCACAAGGGCAATGGATAGAAAGCACAGAAAGTACAGTAACAGCTGCTGCTTCTACCCATAGGCCTCGGATACTGACACTCTGAGAGGAGCCCCCCTCAAGAAAGTGGTGACTTTTGACCTCAGCGACATGGAAGACATGAGCAGCGAAAGTTCCGAATCCTGCCCCCTGCCTCACAGTGAGTGGTAGTGGCGGGAAGAGAGGGCGGGAGACAGGGAGGATCACAGTTTCCGTGGAGACGGAGGAACCTGGGGAGCAGAGGTGCAGCCCCCTTCCCTCAGGCCTGTGTGGGTAAGGCCTGTGGGAGCCAGTGTCGGGAGCAGGCACTCAGTGAATGCTGGGAAGGAGCGAACCAGTCTGGCTTTGCCAGCACACAGGTCCAGAAGGATCTGGGAAAGCCTTCTGCATGTGCAGAGCACTTTACGGTTAGAAGTGTCCATTTGCCACTCCCTTCCAGTGCCACCTTCCGGGAGGCCGCTGCTCTTCCTCTGCAGCTCAAGCCTGCAAAGGGCCCTCTCCTACTCCTGCCCCAGGGCCTGGCCCTGGAGAACCTTTCTCAGGGCCAGCTTCCTATTGTACTGTCCGGAACATAGACGCCCTGCTGTTCCCTGTACCCCCAATCAAGTCTGAGGGGCTGTTGTCTGGAGGAACAGGGAGGGGCGGGCCAGTAGGGTGCCACAGGACCAGCTGGGCCTGCGGATGCTCTAGCGCCCGGAACCGGAGTCTAGCCTCACCGTCTTCCTCTTCCCTTTCAGTCAGCCCAACCGCAAGTTCCACCTTCCCCAACAAGATCCACTACATGAGCAGCTCCCTAAAGAAGATCAACAGCCAGATAAATGGTGTCGTCGACATGTTGGGCAGCCTCAGCCCTCAGCCGTCATCCCCACTCGTCGCGTGCACCTCAGCACAGAACTCTCCCTGGTCCTCTAGGAGCACCCCCGTTCCCATCTCCCCCTCCCGGGCCCAGGTCTCAGCCTCATCGCCTGCTCCACACATGTCCACCCAGTGGGCCTGGGACCCGGGGCTGGGCCCCAGGCTCTCCTCCTCTGTGACTCAAACAGTAGACGACTTTCTGGTGAAGAAGTGGCGCAAGTATTTTCCAAGTAAGCCTCCTTCGGGGCCAGTGTGTGGTGTGTGTTCCTCCTCTTCTCCCCTCCTCCCTTCCCTCTTTCTCCCCCTCTTCCTTTTTCTTCCTTCCTCCTTCCCTTACCCTTCACCCCCCACCCCCCAACTCTGGCATGGTTCATTGATCCATTGACTGTGGGCCCTGGGAAGAAGACCTTGCTGGTTGCCCTGCAGCCGGAGGCTACATGGGTCACCATGGTTTCCCTGGAGCGTGGGTTCACTGGGGCCTTTATAACTCCAGAGCTCAGCAGAACCTGAAAGGTCATCCTCATCATGATAATAGCTACTATCATGTGCATTATATTATGGGCCAGGCATTTTATATAAAGCTTTTCGTTTAGTCCTTATGATAACCCTCTGAGGTCGTAATTATGTTTCCCCACTTTACAGATGAGGAAACTGAGGCTCAGGGAGGTTAAGTAATATGCTGCAGGCGCCCAGTGAGTCAGCAACAGACTAGGTTTGACCCCCATGTCTCTGACTCCAGGATCCTGCTTGTAACCCTTGGCCATTTGGCTTCTCCTTGCTTCTGGGCTAGTTGGCCTCCCGTGCTGTCATAGCACTGGTAAGGAATGTGCCAAGCCATAAAAACAGTTATTTAAGGGAAAAAGTTACATCTCTTTATCCCAACCAAATTAGAAAAGTAGATTAAGTTTTAGAAATAAAAATAGGGCAGTTCCTATCTTTCATCTCTCCCTTTCAACCACTGAAACGTTCCCTGTTTTTGTTTTGAGGGCAGTGCCTTTCAGTAATGGGGGTGCAGGAGGTGCTGGTGAGCAAGCAGGGAGGCGGCCTGCCTGGGTCCAAGTCTGGCTCAGCCGAACCGCTGCCCGTTTCTGAATAATTTCCTCCCACTTTGCAGCTGGAGTCCCTCTCCTCAGCAGCAGCCCTGCCCCCTTGGAGAACAAGCTGGGTTATGTGTCTGCCAGGTAAGCCTCCCTGTCGGTGGACCCATACAGGTCCGTGGCTCACTGCGCCTCCCTGAGCTGGTGGGACCTCAGAAGGGAGCAGAACTCATGGCCCTATTGCCCGGAGAGGTCAAGCCGGCCTGCAGTCCACAAAGCTGCCTGAGTCGGAGACCCTCCTCCACAACCAGAAGGAAGGCCCAGTGCGGGTGGGGCTGGGCGCACCTGGCCCAGCTCTATGCGAAGCGGCCCTCTGGCAGCCTGGGGAGAAATCAGCCCCTGGCCGACCCTGCACTGCCCTCCCACTGGTCCCTCCAGCCCTCCAGGGTGGCTTCTGTCTGCCTTTGAGCCGTTTGTCTGCGTCCTACAGCCCTGCTGAGCAACATCTGGAGTGAGAGGGAGCCCGTGAGGGAGACAGATGGGCAATTATTTAAACCTGTTATTAATTTCCCATTTATCTTATTACTTGCCAAATGTATCCCCCCACATGGCCGCAGCCATAAGTCCCCCCCCACCCCCGCCACCACTTACCCTTTTGGTCAGTTTGGAAGCCGGTGCTAGGCAGGTATTTGAGTTGACATTGGGGAGAGCTTTTGCTGATGAAATTGCCTCAGAATTGGTAGACGTGGCTGCCAAGGGCCTTGATATCAGGAGTATTCACCCGGGAAGAAGGGTCCACCACCTTCCCTTTTGGGATCATCCCAGAGGGGCATACCTGCCAGTAGACAAAGTTTTGAATTGCTAAAGCAACTCCACAAAGTTTGCAGCTGGCATGTTGAGAGGAAGAGGAGGCGGATGTGATGGCCTCCGGTCAGCTGTACCGCAAGTCCCTCCTCCTCCGGACACTCCTGCCTCTTCTCTTCCTCTCCCTATGCTGTCCTTCTCTTTCCCAGGGAGCAGCTCCACCTTCTGCAGCGTCCCCAGTCCCACATCCCTGAGGTGGGTAGCATCAACTTTCAGAGCATGATCGAGGCTAACCGGAAGTGGCTGGAACATTACAGGAACCACCTCAAGTTGTATCCTTTTAGCCGGCTCCCAAACTCCAGTCCCTTCCTGTTGTAGCTGCTGGGATGGCTGAGCGGGGCTACAGGGCTTGTGCTAGTGCCCTGGGGGTCCGAGGAGGATCCTGTTTGGCGTTCGACCCTTCCATGTCCCTCCCCTGGACATGCTCAGCTGACTGCAGCTTTCCTTCACCTCATGGCCAGACACCTCTTCTCAGTGCCTGAGCCAACAGCCACCGCTGGCCTCCTGCAGCTGGGCCTGGATGACAACAACACACTAAATGTGCATCACTGAGGCCCTGAGCGGTGGCGTTTGGGGCCCCTGGCCTCTCCTGTACCCAGACCAAGTGCCTGAGGAGGGGCCTGCACTTTATTTCCTCTGATAAAGCATTCTCCTGTCCCCTCTTTGCTGCTTGCCCCGCTCAAAACTTGGAGGAACCACGGTGGGGTGGGGACAGCTAGCTGAAAAGGATGGTACAACGGAAAGCAGTAAGCCACCTCCAGTGACCACATAATGGACCTCAGGCTGAAATGTGTGGTCTGCTGTGAGCTCCTGCATGGACATGGCAGCACTGATGATGTGGGGCTTCGGGGACATGGGTACCGTCAGGGGGAAGAGGTGGTATTGGAGGAGCTGCTGTCAAAGGCCTAGGGACTCCCTTTGGAGCCAAGTTGGTCCCTTGGACCTGCCCGGTTACTTCACTGGAACAAGGCCCCCAGCACGTCTATACCCGGGGACCAGGCTCTGTCTCTCCAATACCTCAGTCTCGTAGAGATCAGACCCCTTTCTTTTTTTAATGTCCCCTTTTTTGAGCCCGCTGTTTCTCCTTTGACTGTCTCAGGATTGGGCCCAGAGCCCTGCCAGTGGTTGCTGGAGGCTGGGCCCCAGACGTTTTGCAGCCTGCCTTCCCTCTGTTGGCATTGTACTGCCCGCAGGGGCGTTCCCTTCTCTTTGCCTGGCCCACCCCCCACCCCCTAGCTAGCTTCTCAGGTCTCAAGCACACAACTTTCAGGAAGACAAGCCACAGAAAAAGTCGAGGATGGCTTCTGGTCCTCACCTCGCTTCTCTCCGCCTTGGGTATATTCATGGGTACTTGTTTCCATCTCTATTTTCTACCTGTGCCACCCCCTGCTGCCCCTTCTCAGAGCTTGGAGACTTGTTCTGAAGGAGGTGAGGGGCTTGGCCAGTGCCTGGTCTTGGCAGTGGGATCTTGTGCCAGTTGGAGCTGCTGCCATTCTGGCCCAGTCCCACCTCTCAGCACTGGGCTCCCTGGGGTTTACAAGGGGTGTTTTCTGACATCTCATTGTTTAAATAAAATGTTCCCCTTTTTTCGCCTTGAAAGCTGTGAGGTTGCCCTTGCCTCTCCAATGCATAGAGACCAACCCTCCCCCGTCCCAGTACTCATTGCTTTGTCATGGAATAAGAAACTAAGATCCACTTGGCTTTTTTACCCCCACCCTCCACCCCCAGATAATTTTTAGGCATCAGTCCACCACACAGAACAAAGTCTGTTTTATTTGGCTCACTGTGCTTTGGGACTAGCTCACGTGTCACAACCACCTTTAATGACAATCTTGCGTTTTGTACATCAGTTAAATCCCTGCAGGTCCATTTTCTACAAGGCTGTTGTTTGAATGTGTCTCTTCTGAAAGCCTTTGCCTCCTTCCTCTTAAGAAGACTAGAGGAAGGGAAAATTAACAGTCACAGGACACCTCCTAGGTACCTGATCTAATCATCAGAACCAACCTGTGATGCAGAGATTTTCATATTTGTTTCTGTGAAGGAGAAAATCAAGGTTCAGAGAACTTGGAAGCACCTGGGGTCCTGAAAAAGGCCTAGCTCTCTACAAGGCGCAGCCTTCACACGCCATCCCGTGTCCCTGGAGCTCCCTGTACCCTGATGCCAGCCTTGGGAACTGCTGACGTTCTCCATCTCTCCCTTTTCCGCCCTCCCTACTCTGCCACCTACCAGATAGAGACCTGTGCCATCTCCCAAAGGCCACTGTTTTCCCCATGCAGACAAATGAAAGATAAGCCCCCAGAAATACTAAGCTGGCAAAGTTAAGTGGGTATTTTTCCCGCTCCAGTGGTGTGAACAGCCTACATACACAGCCTTGGATCTGTAGCAACAGAAATGCTAAGAGAACCAACTTGAGATGGCCATGTTTCATGGGTTTGCATAAGAAAACCAACTTGAAGGCAATACATACAAACTACCCAGCCTCCTGTGTCCAGTGTCCTAGTCAGCTCTGATGAGAGGGAGAAAGGAAGCAAGCTAAGATTTGTCAAACACCTTTTGTATGCCAGGTGCTTTTCATGTTATAACATATAATCTGTTTAACCTGTGAAGTTGGTAGTCTTATTTTAGAGATGAGGAAATTTGGGCTCAGATAAAATGACTGTAGCTCAAGTTCACCCAGAGTTTGAACCCAGGTCCATATATCTCTGAAAGCCGAGTTCGGTTGACCACACTCCCCTATGTCAGCATCTCCTGTCTTCCTAGCTCACAGAACAGTCCTGGCCAGCTTGGTCTGAAGACCTGGGTTCAAGGAATCGAGGTGGCTTCTATCTGAATGAGCAAATTCCCTGAGCCAAGGTCTACAAGGGGACTTTTTCAAAAGACTCCAAAATTGTTCCATCTCTCCCCTCATGGACCTTAGAATCTAGCTGGGGAGTCTAGAATCAGACTTTGAGAGCTGAAAGGAGCCTTGCGCATGACTGGCTCAGCCAACTCATTTTACAGTGGAGGAAGTGGCCTGGAGAGATTACATCAGTTGCCTAAAGTTACAGTCAGTTTGCAGAGGTAGGGCCAGAACCGAGGAGTCCTGGCTCCCAGCCTGGGGTTTCAGGAATATATATATATATGTATGTATATATTTAGGACACAACTAAAAGTTCTCTTTAGATATTTCTTTGGGGGAGGGGACACCACAATTCTACTCAATGAAGAGAAATAATTTTAACAGTACAGAGGCTTTTTTTACACCTATGCCATGAGTTCCTAGGGCGTGGGCTCCAGCAGCTCAGCTCCTTCCCTGGTTCTCACACAGTGAGCTGCTCTGGGCGGGGCCGCTGGCGCTTCCCTGAACCCAGGTACCCTGCTCTTTGGCTTCCTTCTCTTTCTGGTCACTTTCCTTCACCCGTTTCAGGAAGCTGTCTCGGCTCTGAGCGTGCTTAGTATGCTCAATACGTACACTAATTCTCTCGGCAAAAATCTTGCCCTTGTTTGTTTACAACAGTGCCAACCACACGACATGGTAGACACTTCCAGTTTTGCCATGAGAACATTTAGGGGGCATTCCTGTTTGAACAGTGCCCATTCCCTGATGTCTGCAGTAGCACCGTGTAGATTCGCATGTATGTGGCCATAGGAACAGCTCCATGTTTCTACAAGGCCTAGAGAACATACAGCGGATGCCTCTCTTTTCCTTTGTGTTGGTCATTTTGATGAATTACTGGAAGATGGTGGTCCCAGCCGAAAAGGAGCAGGAATCTTTTTTAAAGGATATTTATTTTGAATAGGCTGTATGTTCACGTGGATCAACATTCAAATGGTACAAAAGTCACTCCATCCATGGACCATCTAGCCTCCTCCTTGAAGGCAACAAATACACAAATTCCTTCTGGAGATTTTTATGCAAATACAAGGAAAGAAGGGGCATTCTTTTTATTCCCTTTGCCTTTACTGGTAGGGTTAAGGGTCATTCCTAATGCAGAAATAGATGATTTTCTGAAGCTCTTTTGTGAGATGTTCACTGACTATTTTCTTACAGGAGCAATATTGGGAATGATAATAGCCTCACCCCACTCTCTTAACCACCATAAAAACTTCCACACAAAATAGCATTATGGGGAAGGGGGGGAAATAATCCTAGCTTTAGGACATTGGGACTTCCTTTTGACCCTGACACCTACAAGCTCTGTGACCTGAACAAGTCCTTTCTGGGCCCGTGCCTTCCCTGGTCAAAAGCTCAAAGCCTGAATCCATGCTCCAGGGCGGCGAAGCAGGGTGGCTGCCTCAGCTTCAGTGCCTCTGAGGGGTCTGCCTTGGGTAGACAGCTGCCCTCATCCACAGGGAGGTTGGAATACCGCCAGTTGCCTAAGACAGGTCTCAGCTAAGGAGGGGTACCGGAGAGGGGGCTGCCAGTCCCACCACCAGCTTGTTTTGTGGAGATGGGGAAGTGATGGTTACAGAATGGAGTACCTGCCTTCACTAGTGTCCTGATGACTTGGAAAGCCCCGTGTGCCTCCTTTCTTCGTGCATCTCCTATCTGCCGCTCCTGCCTCTTCCATTTAATTTGCCATCTCCAGCAGGTGTGTTATGCAGAGGGCCCAGTGAACACAGCCATGGGGGGGGGAGGGGCACCAGCTCTTGAGAGGTAGGAAACAGGAACAGTTGTGGTGAGCCCTAGTCTCAGGGTTAAAAGCAAAGGGGGTGTGAAACAAGGGTTCCCACTTTATCCTCCCTGTGCCTCAATTTTTACACCTGTAAAATGGGGTTCATAATAGTACCATAAAGTGGTTGTGAGGATTAAAGAAAATCCCTATAAAGTCCTCAAGACAGTGTTCAACACATAGTAAGGGGAGTGACATCACCAAGATGACAAAGGCCATTCCTGACTTTGCTCCCTCTCATAAGAAGAACTAGCAACTATTCATGCACAAGACACCACTGAGAGAATCTTAGAACATGGGGGTGAGGCTGAAGCATCCCTTCCCCCCCCCCAACACACACACCACAGAGACTGAAAGAGACTGCATTAGAAGGTAAGAGGAGAGCCGGCCGAGTGGTGTGCTGGTTAAGAGCTGGCTTGGGACGCCAGAGGGCCCCGGTTCGGATCCCACATATGAGGGCCAGTGACACTGCCCTCCACAGCTAAGATGCTGAACAACAGCTCAACCTGGAGCTGGGCTGCCGTGAGTCACCAGCGACTGTGTAGGCTGCAGCCCCTGCTGCAGTGGGTTGCCATGGGCTACCGTGTGTGACCTTCAGCCAGTGTGAGCGGCCAGCAGCCAGTGTGAGCTGCCGTGAGCCGCTGTGAGCGGCCGTCCAATGGCTGGCAACTGATCTGCCTCAGCTGGGAAGAGTGCAATGATCACAATACAAACATGGGCCAGTGAAGCAACGTCCTCCACAACTAGACTGAAGAATAAAAGGACAGCAACTTGTCTGTTCTCCTTCCCCCGATTCCCCAGTGCTGTTCCCCTCCCCCAATTCCCCAATAAAAATCTTAAAAAAAAAAAAAGTAAGAGGAGTGGCTACATGCTGACTGCATTGCCCCTCCCCCAGGCCAGTGCAGCACCACACCAAGAAGTCTCCCCTGAGCCTACAGTTCCTCCAGAGGGAAAAGGGACTGTAGTTGACAGTGATGACATCCACCCCCCCCCACCCCTCAAAAAAATTGTGGGTCATTTAATGGGAACCCCTACTCTGGTTTTGCCCCACAGGGATTGCGACGAATCGAGCTCAACTACTGGGAATCTGTGATGGAGAAGGGAGGGGCTTCCAACAACCAGCACTCTGATCTTGGCAGACTGAGTTCCCTACCTGCAGAGCCTATGTCCAAACCAGCGGCTTTGCACATCTGCAGAGCCAAGTCAGTGCAGTCTGACCAGAGAACTTGGCAGAGTACAAGTCTGCCTGATTTGGGTTTGCAAATGAGTTTTGCTGGGCCTGGAGCCTGGTCTGCCCATGATCAGGCAGAAGAGCTGAATTATAGCCCCACCAGCTTGCCCAGCCCCTGGCCACATCTGACAGGAAGGGCTGGTGAGAACACCTGGAAGCCACAGAACCCAGCAAGGCCTGCTCTGAGATGGGGGTGTGCAGAGCAGAGAGGTGGGTGGGCAGAGCTAGCTGCTCCCAGAGCAAAGCTGGTATCCCTGTTTGCCTAGGGAACTTTGAGCATGATTCAGCTTGAGACCACAAAAGAGCCTTAGAAGCCTTGCAGCTGCTTCTGCTGCTGCACCCAGGCAGGAAAACTTAATTTGTATCCCCACTTATTACTAACTACAGCATTCAGCCCACCTGACCAGGGAACCTTACCAGAGCACAAAGGAAGCCGTGTAGCCCACCCAACAGCCCTGCTTATAGTGGTGCTTGAACAGAGCACAGCCTGTGTCTGTTTGCAGAGTAAAACTGGTGGCCTTACCGGGCCAGGATGTTCAGTGCACATTCTTGCCTAATTTGGGTCCCTGAATAATGAGCCATGCAGGTCCTGTGTCCTGTCAGAGCATGGAAGCTAATTCATGGTCCCACCTACTACCGAGCAGAATACCCAGTCCTGACCATCTAGTAAGCCTGACCAGAGATTCCAGGCAACCACAGAGCTCATAGAACAGCCT